CCTACCACGAAGCCGCTCGTGTTTGAAATAGCGCCTTACAGACTGGGTGTTGCTGGGGGGAGGTGGAGAGGTAATACCGTCTGGTTAAAATTTCAGCAAAGAAGAAGAAAAAAAAAATCTTACTACTATAATTTAGAGGCGTTTTTAGTGTGTCTAGGCAGGTGGGAGAAGATTAAAAGCGAAGGGTTAGTAGTATGTCAGCAGTTGGATCGTTACAGGCTCTTGGAGTTAGGAGCTGTTGATGTGAGTGTAAGAGACAGAAATAAATGTTTATATCTGTTCTGTTTCTCATTATTTCTCTTCCTGAATGTTTCCATCTCTGTCAGCACAGGCTTGTCAGTTCGTTCAAAGCCTTTGGAATTGATTCTCTTACATTACTATGGCTTGTGAATCAAAATCCTGCAGGGGAAATCTGATACAAATAAATCCTGTTTTCAGCAAAGTAAAACTGTGATATTTTGACTTTTCTCTTGTAAAACACTTCTCCTTTCACCTGTGCAGCTTGGTTTTTGGAGGAGTCCTAATACTCTACTGCTTTTCCTACAGCTATATTTCATTCTTTTTGGGATGAGTAGTTTTGCTCCAGTGCTTCTGCAACATACTGTAGCACTTGTAACCTCAAACAGATTGTAATCAGAGAAGAGCAGCGTCAGTTTTCTCTGTGTATATATGTATATTTATTGTACATACATACATACATACATGCAGGTAGAAGGCAAAAATGGAAAATGCAATTATCTCTTGTTTGGTGGGTCTCGATTAATGCTTGTATAGAATATGTTCACCTGAAGCTTACTGCAGTATCATGGCTTTCTTGTAGTTTTTTCAAATATCCTTTTACATTAAAGTCCTTTCTTTCGTAAATATCCCATGCTTTTGAGATGGCTGGGATAGTAACTTTGCCAAACAGTCAGCTTTGCTTTTGGAAAACAGAAATAATTTGGATTGCATTTCATAGAATAAAACAGCTTGTCAGTTGGTAGTTAAGTCATTTCATAAATTCCAGCTTGCAGGTGTCAGCTTGCAGAATAGGAAAACATATTTAGATGATTTTGCTTGGGTTAACTTCTAGACAATCAGATGGGATAATGATGATGCTTTTTATTCTACTGTTTTTCTTTGCTCACCTTTTATAAGGATACTGGTGTACACAGCACTCATTTAGACATTTCAGTGGTTCACAGTGCTGATTTCAGTTGCCTTCTTCCTATATGTGCCATTAGCTTAAATAAATTTAGTAAAGAAATAAAATTACTTGCTTTTATTTGATGAAAAGCTTCAGATGCTGGAAATGTGCTTTCATCACCCCCTTTTCTCCCTCTTCTTCCCCCTGCTCTCTCCCCATTTTGGGTTGATAAATCTGTAAGTCTTCAGTCTTACCTGACTAGACCAGGGTCTTTGATGCTGACAGGATAGCAACAATGAAGAAATATTACACAAGTTTGCATATAAATACATGAAACTAATTTATTTTGCTTGCTAGTGCTCCCAGGCTGTCAAATTATCTTCCATAATGGCTTCCATAATCTTCCATCCTGTCTCTTTGACTGACAGTGTTGGTGCAGATTTTCTCTGGAATCATGTCAATCCATAGAATCTTAAATTCTTTGAAAACTTGGAGGGGGAGGAAACCCAACCAACTGCAACAAAAATAGGCCTTTCGTTAGATTATAATTAGAATAAAGAAATTCTATTTTAAATGTTTTGCCTACTGTGCACAACATAATCAATGGCTTTCGTTATTGAAGTGGTTATTATTAGCCATGGTTTTGCCATACGTAAGTCATAGAATCATAAATTTTTGTTGCTTGTTTAAACTGACCCACAGCCCTGTGAGGTGATCAGAATAACTCTGGGGTCAGCCTTGAATCAGACTGTAAAAGAGGAAGATAACAGAAGTGTTGCCTTTCTGCCTCAAATGGATTTTGTCTATGAAAGCAAAAGAATTAACTCTGTAACATCTTTTGCATTTAAAGGACATATAATTGTAAACGTTTGGAAGTTGTTCACACTCAAAAGGGTAGTATGTGCTATTATATCATTATATATATATTTATACAGTATATTGTATTTAAATACTACAGTATTTACATCCATTTTCCTAGCAGTTTGTTGGCATGTATTTCTGGAGTTCAGCTGCTGAACAATAAAAATAAATGATTGAGTTTTTCTTTCTAGTGTTATAAGCCAGTCTATTTACCCATATAAATTTTAATGGAAATAATGAAAAACTTAATAAAAATAAACAGAAACTGAAGCTGCTTATATTATATTCTCTGATTAAATTTTTAGATTTTGAATTAATCAAAAAATCTTGTCTAGATTTTTCAGTGGACTTTAGTCCTGCTTTCAAAAGAAATAAATGTAAGATTGATGAAAATAAGGAGCTTTAAAGTATTTTTAAAATTTCTTTCCTTTTCTTACTTATCATCAGTTCTTGAGCATTTAGCAAAAGGAGGGGATCTGGTGATTGTCATGTTCAGCTTCTGTCTGCTGTGCCAAATGAATTTCACCAGCTAATCAGTTTCTTCTTTTCTCTGTGCTCTATTTTAAGTCAGTGGTCCACCTGAGCTATGCTTGCATTGCATCAAAAAACTCAAAGGGTCTAGAGGAAGTTCTGGATTTAGCAAAGGCACCTCTAGCTCCAGAGACTGATGTGTGTCTTAGTGAGTTCTGTACTGAAAGAAAACTATTGCAGTTGTCTGAATTAATAATGATTGGACATGAGAAGTTTTGTTGTAGTAGCATCTCATAGCTCCCAGACATAGGTGAGCCTTCTTTGTGTGTGTGTGTGTACTTCACATGCAGCAAGAAGATACCCTTGCCACAGAGAGTTTATAGTTTCTACCTGTATTGTACAACTGATCTGGTCATGTGCTGCATGTGTAGTTAGAATTTTTCTGTCTGTTGTCCCCTCCTGGGCACACCTTTTTCAGAAACGTTTTGGAAGTGAATTGTGGGTGGATGAATTAATTTTAGAGATGTCCACTTGAACTCAGGCACTGTATTTCCTACCTTTTTTGATAAGTCATATGCCAGCTAGATTTACCACGTTCTTCTCATGTCACCCTTTCCCCAGTAAATCCTTATAAGACACTATTTATTTCCAGGCTGAGAGATCAGGTTGCTTAGCCAGAACAGTCTTGGCCATATGTTAGAAAGACTTGAATTTCCCCCACAAGTGCATCCCAGTTCACTTGTGAAGACTGCTTTACTTGTATCAAATGTTATGTGCATAATAGATTTGCTAATGGAGTGATAGAGGGGGCATGGCATATTCGTTGATAAAATAAATTCATACTGTCTGCCTGAATGGAAAGCTTGGTTACTGTTGGGTGAAGACTCCTGAGGCTTTTTTGTGGTGTCCTCAGTGATCTGCTAGTGTGTTTAGTGAATGGTTCTTCAGTAGTTTAAAAATAGTCTGAGCAGTTCTTATCATTAAAATGTATTAGCTGGAAAAAGTCTTCCTGGAATATTTAATATAAAAGATACGGAGTCATTTTAATATGTTTATTTGTTGGCAGAGAAAGGGAGGCTGCATGTCTGAAATCACTGGGAATAAGAGGAATGGGATACAGAGAGACTTTAGCGTTTATCACAGATACCAATTTGTTTAATAAACAATGCGTGTGAGTGTTGAAGTTGCACTGTATGTCAGGGCAGCTGCAACAAAAGTAATTTTTAGCCAGACGTACTCAGTTTACCACTGTCCTCAGCAATACAGAAAGATGGATATGGGAGATAGTCCAGGAGAGCTGGTTGATTTTCAAGGTTTACCTCCTACAAGCTCAAGAATGATCCACTCCCATGTGCAGGAAGGCAAGCAGAGATGGCAGGAGGTCCACATGCATGAACAAGGAGCTCCTGACAAAACTCAGACATGAAAAGGAAGCACACAAGACATAGAAACAGGGTCAGGTCACACCAAGAATAATACAAAGACAGTCTCTGTCTGAGAGTGCAGCTATGCCATTTGGAAAATCAGACACCACATGGATTTGAATCTGGTGACAGATTAAACTTGTGAAAAGCAAGCAAAAGGGCTTCCACAGGTATATCAGCAGCAAAGGGGAGACTAGGAAAATGTGGGCCTGCAAATAATCCTGGATACCCTTGTCAAAAAAGGAAGGACAAGACAAACATACGAAAGACAAGAAGGTGATTGGGAGAAGTCAGTATGTTTTTATGAGGGGGCAGTCATGCTTGATCAATCCAAAAGACTTCTGTGATGAGATGACTGCCTACATGAACGTGGCAAAAGCAGTGGATGCTATTTATCTTGCGTTTAGCAAGGAGTTCAGTACTGTCTCCTATAACGTACACAAACTGATGAAGTATGGGCTAGATATGTGGACAGTGAGGTGGATAGAAAACTGCCTGACTTGCTGGGTTCACAGGCTCTGATCAGTGCTGTGGTACACTCCAGGGGGTGATACCAGGGATAAACACTACTCCAGTAGTGTTCAGCCTCTTCATTGATGACCTGGACAATGAGATTGTATCCTCTGCGAACTTGCTGAGTGTGCACTAAGTGGGCAGAAGGGGTTGATGCACCAGCTGGTTGTGCTGCCGTTCAGTGGGACCTCTGTGGACTGGAGAAGTGGGCAAATGGGAAATTTGGCAAACAGTGTTCAAGCAAAGGGAAATGCCAAGTCCTGCCCCTGGCAAGGAGTCACCCCATGTGCCAGTGCATGCTGGAGGCAGGCTGTTTGGAAAGCAGCTTTGTGGAGAAGGACCTGAGGGTCCTGGTGGGCAACAAACTCACCATGAACCAGCAGTGTGCCATTGTGGCAAAGATGGCCAGCAGCCTCTTGGGCTGCATTAGGAAGAGTGTTGTCAGCAGGTCAAGGGAGGTGGTTCTTCTCTGCTCAGTCCTGCTGATACTCATCTGTCATGCCGTGCCCAGGTCTGGGCTTTCTAGTAAAGAACAGACATGGACATGCTGGAGTGAGCCCAGCAAAGGACCATGAAGATTATTAATAGATTGAAGCACCTGATACATGAGGAGGCTGAAGGAGCTGGGGTTGTTCAGCGTGGAGAAGAGAAGGTTCAGGGAGGATCTTACCACCATGTGTAAACACCTGATGGGGGCCAGTAAAGAGTACAGAGCCAGACTCCATGGTGACTATCAGGACATGAGGTAGTGGGCACAAACTGAAATATGGGGAATTCCAAATTCCATTTAAATGTAAGAAATACATTTTGTTTTTTACTCTAAGTGTGATTGAACATTGGAACAGGTTGCTCAGAGTTTGTGGATTCTCTGTCCTGGGAAATACTCAAAACCTGATTAGACAAGGTCCTGAGCCTCCTGCTGTGGTGGGTATTGGACTGGATGATCTTTAGGGATCCTTATCAACCTGAACAATTCTGTGGTTCAGTAACGTGAAAATGAAGTAGGTTGTTAAAATAATTCCCTGAAGAGCTTTATCTGTGCTCTCAAAGACATAGTATGAAATAGGTTTTTTTTTTTCCTTCTAGGTTATCTAAGTATTGTTTGATTTGCTTCAAGGATCATACGCATTAATATTTTCTAAATCTTAGAAGCAGTGTGACATGGGCTATTGAATGTTATGGTGAGAGAGGCAGCATCTCTTGTTTCAGGTCTTGTGTGCCATTCCTCAGCTGCATATTAAAAACTGAAAGTTACAAAAATTCTGCTTGCATTCAGTTTTGCAAATAAGCCAAACTTATCAGCTGATCCTTCTTCAGGTTAATACTATGTAATTAATACATTTTCTGGAATAAGGGTGTTTAGTATTGATCTTGTAATTAGGATCATGTCAAGTAGAAGTTGTGGATCTGGTTTATGTAGGGGAAGATACACCTTATCTGGAGCTCAAAGTACTGTTATATTGGAAGAGGAGGAGGAAAATGATCGTAGCATGCAGTCAGCAAGGGATATACAGACAGGTATGATATAATAAGCAGATTGAGGTATTCTCTGTGCACTTTTGAACTAGAAGTGCAGAACATTTACTTGAGGACAGAATCTGAGGGGACACTCCTACTTGTACTCTATTTTCTTCTACCTGGCATTTATGTCTTATTGAAATATGTTTATGGTCAACATGGGTCTACTGTGTTAGAATGATTTGGGGATGTCTGCATCTAGTGGTGTAATTTGAGATTCAAATTAGTCGCGACCTGAGATGTCATTGTGAAACTCACCTCCTAGACATGATGAAATTTGTCTCCAGTTGAAAGAGCATAGGGATATAGGTAATCCGAGGTGGAGCACTGCAGGTTTGGACAATCTTGTCTTCCTGCTTTCCTACGTTCTGTGTTTCTAGTGTGTCAAAGGAATTGACAGTTGTTATCAATTCACTTCGAAATCAATTTCAAGCAGTAAATGATTGTGGTGAGACACTCCACTTGAATCTGTTGATTTTTTTCCACCCCAGTTGTTAAGAAAACTGTCTATTTGACCATGATGAGTAGTGTCTTGAGTTCCTTCCAAATTATAGCAATTTACTTTCATTTGCATCTCTTTAGTGTCTTTAAGAAAAAGACTCCTTACAAAGAAACTTAGCAAAGCCTTCTTACGTTAAATGGAACTATTTTACAAATGAGCAAGCTGAGACAAAGTGATTAGATGACTACATCAACAAGGAAAAAAAAAAGAACACTTTTTTTGTGATGATTTTTCTAATACAAACCAGAAGTGTATGCACAGGGTGGTGTCAGTGTAAAAAGTTTATGATGATGCTAGGTCTGTGCAAATTAGCTCTTTGTGGTCTCTGTTCTTTTTAAAATCTTTATTTGGGCTTTTTATACATCAGTAAGTTTGACTGTTTTTCAGAGATGGCATTCAAAGCGTATGACAGCTATCTTCAAGTTTGATAGAAATTTCCTCAGTCCCTGTGGTTCCAAGTGAAGCTTTGGTAATCCAAACTTTAACCTAAAGATAGAGTGGAATGCATGTCTCCTACGTGATAGCACATTATGCTGTTGTCAAGTGAAATACTGGACTGAACAGATTTGATTTTTTTTTTTTTTTTTGTAATGGGATTTATTTGCCTTGAAGCCAAGATAAATTTGCTTTACATCAAAGAGTGATCTTCTCAGCGATGTACAGGAATAGAATTGTCAGGCAGCAAATATATAAATTCTGTAAGAATCGACTGTCTTATGTTCATAAAGATTACTACCAGTATAGTATCATTTAATGTGAAAATCTGCCTAAATGTTTTTTTTTTCTTTTGCTGCAGAACTTTATCAAGTGTGAAAATGAGCTCCTATAATATGAAAAAAAGTCTGCTTTTTCTTTCAGCTTTTGCTGTAAGTGTAGTTCTTGAAGATGGAGAAGATGAGACCGAACTACCAGTGCTGCAGGTAATAAATTTTAATTGCCAGAGCAGGAATGTTTTACAGACATTATAAAATCATCTAGATGAGACTAGAGCAGAAAGCCTAACATCTGTGACATTGATTATCTTGATCACTGACTTCAGTGGTACTAAATGTCATATGTCTGTCTGTTCTGTATGGCATATAAGAGACCTTTAATGGGACACAAGTTGCATGCAACACTACTCTTCTAGTATTACTAGGTTCTTAATTTGTCCTATGGATTCTTAGAATTACTAGAATAAATTTATACTTAACACTTCTGATTTCTTTCTTACACTGGATTTTCTGATTTTTCTGGACATTTTTATTAAGAGAATTAGGTTTTTGGGGTTTTGTTGTGGATCAAAATTATAAATTAGAAAACAATTTATTTTCTTTTTTCCTGGATCAGCTGAAGAGTACATTAGAAACCTTGATGATTTCACATAACTTCTACAAGTTGATAGCGTTACTGCTGTTGAGAGTAGTTTTTGAGTATATAATCTTTATTAGTTCAGAGGCAGGTTTTTCCTTCTTCTTGATTTTGTTAAATGCATAATATATTGAGAGCGAAGTGGCTGCTTCTTTGCTAAATTAGTATTACTATCTGTTGCTACCCAAGTCACACCTCAAGTAAAGCATATGAAATTTCAAATTAACAGATTAGAAGAATTGATGGTCAGAGCTAGCCCTACCATTAAACAGCATAATGGATGTTGGGTGTATATGCATATATGTCCTTTAACATGCTTCTATCTATAAATTTTTATTTATATATATATGTATATATTTGTAACAGATATTAGTGCATGTATAAGAGATTTAAGGGAGGAAAATAAAATAAAAGTACTGGAATGAATCAAGAGTTAGAATCTATAACTGCTATTCAGATCTAGTGATCTTGCATGAAATGCAGACAGATCCATGTTTCTAAATAATTTTTGGTTTTGATGATGATTGCTCTGAGTAATTTTCATAAATGAAAAAGATCCCTGTTGCAAACTGCTGATTTGCTGCAGTGTATCTGGGATATGAGATAATGTCATTCTGTTTTCATTACTTGTAAGTTGCTGTTTGTCAAATTCCACTACTGTCTCAAGCCAGCTGTTTAATGTTATCATTGTTATGTAGGATATAATTTATGAAGGCTTTCCTACTATTTTAGAGTTTCAAAATCTTCCCTCAGATGAAGTCAGAGGTGCCTCCTAGAACTCTTTAGGCCAAAGTCCTTTTTTTTTTCTTTTTTTTTTTTTTTTTTTTTAATTCTTTTGTGTTTTAATAAAGGTAATTGTAAAAGAGGACTTGTTTGTCAGTGTACCACAAAACACATACTTTTTTATTTGCATAGAAAATTAATCTTCCCATGTTGTTTATGATATATGTTATTTTAGAATGTCGTGTATATTACGCTGTAAGATGGCAATAATGTGTATAGTCATCAAAAAAACTTGTCTTACAAGAGTTTCTTTAAGCTTTATTGACCCAGTCAGCAAAAAAAGGGTCATAAGCATGGATCATGGATGCAATGCAGCCATTCTTGAAAAGGTTTTACAGATGGCTACCAAGGAAGTTGGAGCTTATGCATTTCAGTGTAAAAGACAGACCTGGGCAGAGGTAGAGATCATCTGATGCAAGCAGGACTAAAAGATTAAATGAATATGATATTAAAAAAAAAAAGGGGGGGGGGAGGGGAAAAAAGTGTTTATAAATAGGAATTAAGTCACAAGGGTAGGAAAACTATATAAAAGCTTGTTACTGAGGAGTACCTTGTATGACATTTCTATCTGAAGGTCTTAAAGCACTTGAACCAGTATAAGTCCTTCAACATCCTTATGCAATTAGTAAAGATGATCTTGATCCTTATGCAGTTAGTAAAGATGATCTTGATTTTACCTGTGAAGAAACCAAAACACTGAGGTGCTGTTACTAGGGAGAAATTACACAATAAATCAAGGCTCTGTTTTCCTTTCTTCAATTTTTGTAGGAAGTGCAGAGCTACTTCTCCAGTGTGTCTCTCTACCAGTCAGCAGTTCTTAAACAACAGCCTTCCACCCAGCCTCTGTTATTTAGAAGCAGTTGAATGTGCTCCTAAGATATTTTTATGTGTGTGACTTAGTTTCATGGTTAATGCTGCAAATGCAGTATCACTCTTGTCTGTACTTCAGCACTCTTAAAATTCCATCACAAATGTATGTGATACCTGAGTAAATCCCAACAAAGTCATGTTATGTACAACCACCTTTTCATGTTTATTTGTCTTGTATAAATTGCTTTTGAGTCTTCCTTTAAGAATTGTATTTCAATAGATGCTTGATAGTGGATCAAATGAGTACGAGTGTGTTGGCTTTTTTTTTACACACTGGACAGGTGTGTTTGTATTATAGAGTTCCATATTCCAAACTTTGTGCTAAGGAGATACGTATTAAAAAAAACCCCAAACACAACCACTGTTAATATTTTAATTACCACTTTAATTATTAATTATATTAATAACTAAACCATATGTTAATTATATATTATAATATATAATTAATATATTAATTATATTAATTAAATCATATGTTAATAGTTCTTGAGTTAAAACCTCTATGTATGCATTTACAATCTGATAAATGTTTTGCCTCCCTTTATGTCTCTATAGAAATACTTGAGGTTTTGCATTTATATTTAGTTTGCTTTTTCTCCTTTCTTCCAGAAGTCTGAAAAAAGTGGAACAATCAGTAAAATAAGCAGAGGTAGGTACTGTATAGTCTGTATGTTTTCACTTGTGGCTGCCTTTTTTAGTATGTTGTGTTCACTGGGTGAACAATGCCTAAATGCTCAACAGCATTGTTAGTTAATTGCTGATTCACAAATACTTTTTTTTTCTCATTTAGTGTCATCAAACAGAACTTCTTGATCTTCGTTTGTATTTGCAGTTCTTGTAGTTGGTTTTTTTTTTGAAAATGTTCACTTGCACCATGAAACTGATGCATTGCTTTTTGTAGTACACAATATTTTAAAATAAAATTTAATGATACGTAGTAGCTGTTCTTGTAAAAATTTAACATGAAGCTGAATGTTACCATTCTGCTAAGCTCTCATGGTACATGTAATAACTATATATAACTTGCAATAACTTTTTAATATCTAGAAGCAATTATTTAAGAAACATGTCAAACATTAAGAGGATAATGAGTAGTAAAATATTGTTTTACTGGACATATAACAAATTATGAGAATAAAAATTCTGCAAGCTTCTGCCTTTTCTGAAAATAAATCTGATGTCCTTCCAGCAAAAAGTTTACAGACCTGAGATAAAGACTTGCAATCTCTGCATTGTAAACTAGTGCTGCCTCTGCTATATTAAAGTCATTCAATTCTTGAAGGAACTTGGGCTCTTCTAAACCCTGAGTGCTTGGGTCTCCTGCTCTAAGAAGAGCCAGCTTAACCATGTCTCTTATAGCAGTTTGTGAATAGTTATGAGTTCATTCTGACATCAGAGCTGACCACTGGGAAGGCTTAGCTTGTAGTGGAGTTGGTAACACAACTCTGCGTGGTGCTGATAAGATCTGTTTTTTGTTTGTTTACTGGCTTTTTTTGGACTTATTTGCAAGCTCTGTCCCTAACACAGATAACCACTTCTGTGGAAAATAAAATTAAGTCACTTGTCCCATTAATCTCCCATTTTACCATTGCAAGGTCAAGACATTTCTATAGAAGCTTTATTACTGTTTCCCTGTTCACCCTTCCTTATCAAGTGGCAAAGAAACTCTGTTTCCTCTTTGTTTTGTTTCATCTTTTTCTGTAGAATCTCACAGCACAGCCAGGTGCTGGTTGCTGCTTTTATTACTTTCAGTAGAACCTGCTGTGTCTCAGTTCATAAAACACCCAGGGAGGCATTGACAGACTTTTTTTTTTTTTTTTTTTACTTTTGACAGTGATGTTTTCATAAGTTCTGATATCTCATTACTTAGGAAAGTTATATTTAGGGATGTTACAGTGGTAGATTAGTGATGTAACTACTATCTGTCATCTATTGTTTGTTGCAGTAGGAGATCACTTTAAAGCAGACAAGCAAAAGTATTTTATGCAGCAGGTAGCAAAATTTAGAAACTTGCTGCCACAGGAGGTTATGGAAGCAGACCATACCAGCAGTTTCAAGAGAGGACAAGTTCATAAATGTATGGTAAGATAAATAGACAGCAATGTATCTTCTGGCATTTCCTAATTCAGTAGTTGTCGATGCTGTTAGAATATGAGGAGCACTAGAGAAAAGGAAGGTCTTACGGTGTTCTTAAATAGTGTTTCCTATTGCTAGTGTTAAAGACAGTGTACTGGACTAAATGTACCATTGGTCTAATGTAATGCATCTCTCTTGTGTTCTCAAGCTTTTTTTAACAAGATTCTGCCTCATCTTAAGAAAGATATTTTTTTTTTAATTCTCTTTTAACCCATTTCTGTGGGTAAAATCAAGAAAGGACTTGAAACAGAGGATGAAGTCCTTCATGATTCTTTAGTTTCTAATTTTTTTTCATTCTTCTTTTTAAAACTGTTATATATATATATATATAAAAAAAAAAAATCTTTCTCCTTTATAAATAAGCTGTAGCTTTGTACCAAGGAAGCAAATTTATCATTTGTGGTTTTCCTTTCAGGGTTCTAAGAGATCTTTTTAAGTGTTCTTAGTCAGGCCTTTGAAAACAGGTATCAACATCTTCATATTCTTGTCACTGGGAAGACAAGTGTAATAGAGAGAAGACTGAACTTACATGTTTCCATGGTTGCTTTGTACCCAGAATGTGATGTGGCTTTCTTAATTGGCTGGTGTGCGAAGTGCTTCATGCATGGATATGTTATAGGCCAGCCAAAAGGTAAGTGGTGTGTCTTACCAGTGTTGGATCATCATTGCCATGCCATGGAAAAAGTCTCGCCCTTCAGATGGATGTATAGGTAATCTGTTGGTGGGTGTGTTTGTTCCCAAAGGGTAGGCTATACTGCTCACCAACAGGATTTTCAGCTTCTGAATAACAAAAGCAAATCTCTTCTTCAAGTGAGGCACTGGCTATTTCAGGCTAGTGTACAATGATTTTGCCTTCTTTGGAAACTCAAGGAATAATGTGTATGTTAAATGAGAGAAGAATGAAGTAGTCTTGAGGCTTGTTTTCTTTTATTTGATTCTTGCAAATATTGTGATGTTATACTTCTTACCTGCAAATACATGCAATAATCTGAAAGGATCAAAAGTATATTTTGAAGTTCTATCCTTTTAATATACTGCCTGGCCTTATTCTGAATTTTATCTAGGCTCTTTAGGAATTGGTGAGGGAAGTTTGGGTGGAAAGGTGAGCACCACATACAAGTTTTAAATACGGGGTGTTTTTAGTATCAGAGTAAATGCGTAGGTGATGAACTTTTTTTGTGTGTGTTAAATAAGTGTGAAGACATTTCATGAGTTCTGAAGTGGTAAACAACATGTAATACAAAAATGAAAGGGTGTGCAGTTTGTGGAACAACTGGATACCCTTATTTTTAATTTCAAAAAGTAAACAAGTGGTATGTTTGGAATTGATTTTCAAGGGTTTTTTGGATGTTACTAAGGTAAGCAGTTTAGTAAAATTCAGGAAATAGAAATATCAGAAATACTTAAACTATTGAGAGAGTGTTTGAAGTTAGGATGGCTTTCAGTTCTCATGCTGCAGACTATAAACAGATATATTACAATGCTTATGGCATATATGGTAAATAAGTAAGCATATACACACAGATGAGATTGTGTGTCTCTATATATATCTATATATATGTATGCATACACTACCTTTAACCCAGGAAGATCCCAATAATTATATATACACATTTACAAATTATTGTTCTTAGCATGAGAAAAGACTTATCTCTACTTTTAATAACTGCTGCAATAACTGCTGCAATAATCTGCTTAAAATATAAGAATTAAAAGATCCTGACTTGGAGTTTCAGGTTGATTTTTGACTTGACATAAAAGGAGGGGAAGGCCTACAGAATATGCAAGTGACCTAATTTTTTAAACTTGAATTGGAAGCTGAGTTTTCTGGCCTATGTAGTAGTCTCTGGTTTGTGAGTTAGAGCAGCAGTGCTTCTACAGTTTAGTTTTTGTCTGAATGAATAATGAGACATTTTTTACTTACTGCATTTTCATTGTGCAAATATTCCATTTAGCCTTAAACAATTTTATTTCCATCAGTTCTTAGAGAAAAAAAAAAAAAAAAAAAAAAAAGCAAAGATGTCAGGGATGTTCTTTTACCTTTTAGGGGCCAGTGGTTAGACTTCATCCTGGTTGTTTTAAAGTCATAGTTATAACTGTAATTTTTGTGGAAATGGTTTGCATGATGTTACACATACTCCAGGGAAGTATATAAATAACTGTGGAATTCTGTCTTTTCTGTTGATGCTTGTTCTACCTTTTTAATGATGTGTTTAAACATTCAGTGAGTCAGAGACATGGTTCTAGATGCCCATTATTTCAGGAGAGTTAGGTAATTAGGAAGCTAAGGAGTAATTTTCACTCTTCTCCATTTCTAGAACAATAGAAGGGAATTGGGAAAACCCACTTCAGAATATACTTGCAGCCTGGAAATTAAGAGACTTCCCTGGAACACTAAAGACGTACATTCAGGCCTGAATTGCCTCACAGATGAGAATTTGGGTTTCTTTCATCCTTGGTGAATGCTTTAACCTCTGAGTGGTAGAGAAGGGCTAGCAGGCAACATCATCATCATCATCATCATGTGTTCTTCTAGGAGATTTTTTCCTCCTTTTTTTCCTGGAATGTGTTTGGGGTTTTTTTCAGTAGCTTTGAGTTGATTAAAACAGCCTTTTGTGGTAAATAAACCTTTCAAACCTTGCAAAGAAAAATCATACAGATAGTTTATCCATGCTGGTCATTATACAGTAATGCTTATCTTCCAAGTAGCAGTATTTCCCCATTGCTATGTCTTGAACTGATTTAGTGGTAATCCAAAGGAGTATTTTGCATAGGATCATAGAATCATAGAATGGTTTGGGTTGGAAGGGACCTTAACCATCTAGTTCCACCACCCCCGCCATGGTCTGGGACACCTTCCACTAGACCAGGTTTACTCAAAGCCCCATCCAGCCTGACCATGAACACTTCCAGGGATGGGGCAGCCACAGCTTCTTTGGGCAACCTGTTCCAGTGCCTCACTACCCTCACAGTGCACAGTGAAGAACTTCTTCCTTATAACTACCATCTTTATGTTTAAAGCCATTACCCCTTGTCCTATCACTACACTCCTGATAAAGAGTTCCTCTTCCACTTCCCTGTAGGCCCCCTTTAAGTACTGGAAGGCTGCTGTAAGGTCTCCCTGGAACCTTCTTCAGGCTGAACAACCCCAACTCTCTCAACCAGGAGGTGATCCTTGAATATCAACCAGCTTTCTTGCACGCCTCTTCCCTCCGGGGCTTTATCCCATGGTACTCTGCCAGGCAGATCCCTGAAGAGGTCAGAGTCTGCTCTCCTGTAGTCCAGGGTAGTGAGCTTGCTGTGCACCCTCCTTGCTGCTCTAAGGATCTTGAACTCCACCATTTTATGGTCATTACAGTCAAGGCTGCCCTTGAGCTTCACATTCCCTACCAGCCCCTTCTTGTCCAGCATAGGACCTATCTTTGGCGCATCTATCACTTGAAGAAGGAAGTTATCATTGACACTTTCCAGAAACCTCCTGAATTGCTCGTGCCCTGCTGTGTTGTCCCTCCAACAGATGTCAGGGTGGTTGAAGTCCCTATGAGGCCCAGGGTTTGTGAATGCAAGGCTGCCCCTATCTGTCTATAGAGGGCCTCATCTACGTAGTCTCTCTGGTCAGGTGTCCTGTAGCATACCCTCACTATAATGTCACCTGCCTCTACCTTCCCATTGTCACTGTATACTTGATAAAACCTGTTACTGTTAATGGCTTGTTAAAAGTTGATTAAGGTTCCATTCTGTTTAGCAGTGAGCCATGATTGTGGTAAGAGTCAGGAAGTCTTCAGTGTTACTGTTTTCCAATTTTTTTTTTTAATGTGAATTTGCATCATCTTTCCAGCATTTGAAATTATTGAAGATATTTTCCAGATATGTAAATATCTTAGGGAAATGAAAGAGAAAATGAGACAACAAGAGAAATAAAGTATCCGTGTATCATCAGAAATAGCGTGGCCAGCAGGGACAGGGAAGGGATCTGACCCCTGCACTCGGCACTGGTGAGGCTGCACCTCAATCACTGTGTTCAGTTTTGGGCCCCCTCGCTACAAAAAGGACATTGAATGACTCGAGCGTGTCCAGAGAAGGGCAACGGAGTTGGTGCAGGGTCTGGAGCACAGGTCGTACGAGGAGCGGCTGAGGGAACTGGGGGTGTTTAGTCTGGAGAAGAGGAGGCTGAGGGGAGACCTCATCGCCCTCTACAGCTCCCTGAAAGGAGGGTGCAGAGAGCTGGGGATGAGTCTCTTTAGCCCAGTAATAAGCTATAGGACAAGAGGTCACGGCCTCAAGTTGCACCAGGGAAGATTTAGACTGGGTATTAGGAAGGATTTCTTTCCAGAAGGGGTTGTTGGGCGTTGGAATGGGCTGCCCAGGGAGGTGGTGGAGTCCCCATCCCTGGAGGTGTTTAAGCGTAGAGTCAACACAGCGCTGATGGATATGATGTAGTTGGGAACTGTTAATGTTGGCTTGATGGTTGGACTGGATGATCTTCAAGGTCTTTTCCAACCTAGACAATTCTGTGATTCTATGACTCTGTATCAGTAGCTAGTTTGGATATTAATCTTCAAAAAGTCTCCATTCTTTGTCTTGTTTGGTTGACTTTCTTAGCTTGAGAAACAATTTATGTGTTTAAAATTGTACCTATTTTCTGTTGACACTTTAATACAGTGAATATTTCTTTTTATGAACTATTTTAAAGTGCTATAGTAGAGGAAACTCCTTCCATTAGATTAAAGCAGTAACACCAAAGTAGGTGTTAGATTACTCTTAAAAAGTATTCTATTGCAGGATATTACAGCTGTTGTTAAATGTACCATAAATGAAACTGGATGTAATTCAGTTGCTTGTGTATCTGTCAGTGTACTGATACTAAAACAGTAATTATATAAAGCAGTGTAGTTTTTGCTTTTTATCTCTGAGGATATTTTCAGTTTTGTGCATGTAGATTTAGCCCTTTGACTCTCACTGAAAAATAATTAAAATTTTTGCACTAATTCTAATTTTTGCACAGGAAATCTAACAAAGACTCTGCTAGATAGCAAATAGCTGCTATTCAGAAGTTTTTATTGTGCGTAGGTTTTTTTTAAGCAGTTTGTTTGGTGGGTCAGAGCACGAAGGAACACTGCGTGGGAAAAATGTAACATCAAAACTGATATCTATGTCAATGTTTATGCCATCTCTGCAACTTTATCACCAGAAACCTTACACAGTTTGACATTTTCAGAGTTTGTCTTTGTGAATAAGCTAATAAATTGAGGGAAAAGAATATCAGAGGAAAAGTAGAAAAACATTTAACTGCAGCTTTGAGCTGTTGTAGGTCTAAATTAATGAGTAACTGTTCAGAGGAACAAAGGAATGTAATTGATCCTCAGGTCTTGGAAATGTTAATCTCATAATTTTAGCACAGACATCTGGGGTTAATGTTCTTTTTGTTGTCACTGTTTTTTCTTGTGATCGTTCTTCATGTGCTCAGTTTTACTCTTTTTCCTTGAGACTACTTTCCTTCTTTGGACAGTTATTCTTCATCTTTGTTCCACTGTTCCTCACTCGTTCTACTCTATTTGTCAAATTAGCATTTTTAACCTACAGGTCAATATCTGGATGTGACACTAGGATCTCTTAGATTCTCTTAGGTTGACTTGATCTACGATGCAAGAATATACACTTTAAAAATAAATATTGCATGATGTAAACCTTGAATTTATACTGTGCTGCAGATTTATTAAAGTGCTTGACAAAAAGCTTCATGTGCTTCCTCTAAGGTCCTCCATCCTTGGGGTGTTTGTCTCCACAGACACTGCTTGTAGTAAAATCTGGCAGCTTTCAGTCAGTCATGACTCTAGTTCTCTACTGCACTTTCATCCTGAACTGTCTTCAATTTGACATCTCCTGAATCTCACCAAAAGTTTGGTTTCAATGGAATACCAGAAAGTGTTCTTAGAAAGCTCTCCTAGTGGTTTTGTATCTTTATTTTCTCTGTCAGCTTTCATGAAGTTGCTAAAGATGGTGGTCTTGAAGCTTGGCTTTTCTGAAGTTTGACTCCTACATCTTTTTTTGTTACCTATATAAGTTTATTGGTGTGCACTTAATTCCTTCTCCACATTTTTTGACATTCTGTACAGATCCCATGGGACTTCAGTTTCTTTTCTTTTGGTACTGTCTTGTCTTGGAGTGATGTCATCTGTAAATGTTAGCTCAGCAGCCTTTTCTGTGCTGTCTCCTCATTGAATTAACTACAATCTGCTGTCTCTTATGCTTGATCTGTCATCTTGAGTGACAGAATTTAAATGCAGTTCTCAATGTCCTCTGTCGCTGCAAGTCCTCTGCTTATCTCCTTGAACACTGGAAAACAGCATTACTAACTTCTTTTTGTTCCTTATACAGTAATTTGCTGGTCATTGACTTGGATCTCTTAAGTTGTTATATTCTGAGTTTCCTTGACTGCACACTGTCTGCATAGTATCTGAAAAGTTCTTCCTTTTCTGGCCAAACAAACAGAAACTGCAATATTGTGCAGTTCTCCGCATCTTGTACCTTGATTGGTACTTAGTTATGGACTTGGGTAGGTTATACAGCATAGGTCAAATTTGTAAGAATTTTGGAAAAGGCATCTGTCCTTTCCTCTTCCTTTCACCTTCGCATTCTCTGTTGATCCTCTGCTGTGTTCTGCTTCTGGATGGGATCAAATCTGCCTGGTTTCTTCGCTTTCAAAGTGCTGCAGGGTTATTCTATCTACTATCATCAAGAAAATTTAGCTGTATCTACTTCATCACCTACTTGTATTTTTCCCGTAAGCAATTTGTTCTATTCATAAATGTTTGCAAAGCTACTTCATTATTTGATTTTAAATTTATCAGTCTGCTACCCTGTTGAAAGTTCTTAACTATAGTGCCTTTTAACGCTGTGAAGACAGGTGAGGTGTTGACGCTGTGCTGTTAAATAAAAGAGTATTACCTCATTGTCCTCATGTGTGTTTCTATATTTGATGTTTGTTTCTGGGTATGGTTTTAAGCGCTCTCTTGAGGAATCATCTTTTCCATTTCATGTTCATGCATTGCCTAGTGGGGGGAGATGCTGGTCTATGACTAACACTTTGTAACTGGTTATAAGGATTGCTGGTGTATAGAGGAAAAAGCAGCTTCATGAATGTGGCTACTGTTAACTGTGGGTGTAAGATCTGCTTCAAGTCTTCTAGTTATGTCACACTTTTTATATGTTAATCCTTATAAGGACTGTTCTGGAATTTGTGTGTGTATGTTAAATTACGTCTTTTTACTATTTCATTAAATGTTTCTGTAACTAAAGACATAGCTTGCTATGTAATAGATTCACATGCACACACCTGGGTTCTCACTAGCTTTGGAGCAAAATTGAAAGTAACTTCTTTTGTCTTTAAATCTTCTTATTTTCTGGTTCACAGAATTAAAAGAAATTGTGTTTATCATCCAGAGTCAAAGTAATTCTTTTCATTCCAAGAGAGCAGAAGACCTAAAAAGAGATATTTTAAAACAGGCTTCAGACCTTGGAAAGGTATGTTTAGATACTATAGATTGCATCTTGTTATGAATGCTTTCTCTAATTTTACTAAAAATATAATTTTTCTATTGTGCCTTTTTTCAAATCCGTTTTACTCCTTTTGTCAACTGTCTTCTGTGTGCTTATAAGAAAATTGTTTCAGTGGGTATTTTCTGTTTGTCACTAAATAATTTTATTTTGAACTAGCTACCTTTTTGTATAAACGGTTGGTTTTGTTTAGATGACATTCGGTGCAAAAGTGATAACGAAATAGACTTCAAAGAATAGTTTTCCAATATGACTAGTGTCGGTTTTCATTAAATTAATTTACGTAATAACATGATTTTAGGTGAATACATTTTATTAGAGCCAATGAAGGTGCTGTAATATAGATTTTCTTGGAATTTCATTGCACGACTGTAGCATTGTGGCAGTAGAGCAGCAATGTGGGTGGACATTAAAATCCTAGCACAGGTTTCCCTACTTATGACAGCAGTAGTCTTCCATGCACTCTTGCCCATGTTGGTATTCACTCCCTCCCCCAGTGCAGTCCGTTCCCTAACTACTCCTTGCTCCCCTGGCACCCACTGACCACAATGCAGTATGAAGGCCTGAACTCTTCATCCAGATATCCGTTAACACATCATGCCATGCTTGGTTCCTGGCCTTCACCCTGTGCAAGGCTGGTGAATCTGTTGCTATGCCAAACCCCACTGGAGACTGAGCTTTCTGCCTCTCACCTGCTGGCCTGGGAGCTGCGTGTTGTACAAGTCTGGTTTTGACTCAACACTCTATGAAATTTTACCCTACAAAGCTTCAGCCTAGAGAGGTTTTTAAGAGACATACATTGCAAGTTAAGTGTACGTAAACAGTGTTAAAATTTCCTTGCCTTTAATAAAAATAAGAAATAAGATGGGCATACATCCCCTGATATGAAATAGCTTGCTGGGAGGTTATTTGACCTATTTTTCAATTCCAGGTTCTTTGTGGTAAAGGAAAAACAAGTCTGATTTAAATTGTCTTATGTATCTCGGCCTTGGAGTGCCTAAATCAGATTCCTGGATGTTTTAGGCTCCATTTATCCAAGTTTGTCAGACCTGTTGTAATTGAATACATTCTAAATGCAGGTTTTAATCCCTTAATGAAATCAGTCATGTGAACAGACTTTGTTCTGCGAAGTTCTACTCTTTCAGAGTCCTCTTTGGGATTGAGACCAGTGTTCAGATACAGTGTGTGCAGAGAGGATTATGGCTTCAGTTGTTAAAAACAAGGGGTTTAGTTGAGTTCTGTAATTGATGTTGCAAAATATGAATGATGAAAAGACCAGTAAGTGGAAGTATAAATAGTTTCAGTGAGTTAGGAATATAGGCATGTTTTATGGGAGAGAGGTAAAATCTTTTGTTATCAAAGAGTTGTACTTGTGAGTAGTTCTGCTTTGAGCAAATTGAACAGGCTTTTAGAAAACTTCATTGTCTAATTAAGGAGATTCATTTATGCGAATGCTGAAATAGCAATGCTTTTCCAGTATTAGGAGGTACCTTTTAAACATGGCATCTTGGAGAAGCAGTGATAGAAATACATTAGACCTAAAATCTTGTACCTGAAATTTGGGAAAAGAGGAAATGTACAGGGGGAAGAAAAGAGCATAGCCAGCATGTACTTGATATGTCTTGGTAGTTTTTGTCAACTCGCAATTCCACTGTAGGCCACTATGAGGCATGACCCAATAATACTAATTATGGAGAAGGGACAAAAGTTCTCTGAAGTCCTGCACATTTTACGGTCACGTTTTTCATTAAAAAGAATATATATGAAATTATTACTTTCTGGCAAAGGACGTTAAATCCTTGTGTTTTAGAGAACAAGTGCTGTATAGAAACAAAGGACTGGATCAGCTGAATCATCAGGTTCACTTGCCTGTTGTTACAGAATGAAATGATAGCTGTTTAGTCCATAAGGATTCATTAGTTATTAGTTTCTGCTCTTCTAAAATTAGAAGTGGCAGCCAGCTGCTAAATCTGTGGTTTTTTTAATGAAACTAGAATATCTGCACTACTTTAAAATGGATTAAATCACTGACATTCATATTTACTTTACATTAATCTTTACAAGTAATTTTCCATTTATTTTCTTTCACTGTGTACTTAATTTTTTTTTTTTTTTCATGTGAAACTAATCGATAATTCTGGTCACCAATAGATGTCAGTATTGTGTTCATGCTGAAAAGCATATTTAATAGCAATTTAATGAATATTAACCAAAACTCGTAAGCTAGAACATAGCCATGAAGAAAATTCCCTGAGTTTTTTACCAATTTTCTTAATTTTCTGAGATTTCTGAGTGTTTAAGAAGCTCTGTAAACTAGGCCTTCCTAAGAAACACCAGAAAAGAATAAGGAAGCTGTCAGAGTGTGAAATGATAGAACAGTGCCAAATACTATCTTCTTAAAAAAAAAAAAAGAAAACCATGATTACATTTTTGGCTGTTACACTTAAGACTAGAAAACAAGTAAAATACAGTTTTTGAAAAATGATAGATTTTGTCTGAAATACTGTTTTAGATGTAGTTAATGCTATTTAATTGCCTGAGATAGTGACATTGTTATGAAGACAGAAGTCTTTGTATTTTTTTATGGAAACAGGTCTAGTATGCCCTTTTTTGTCTTTGAGGGTTTTTATATTGTACACCCTCAGCCAATTCATTATGTTCCAAAAACTTTTTCCTGAAAAGCCTAGAGATTAAATGGTATCCTGTGTACATTATCCAGAAGAAACACAGCAAATTAGTGCTTTTCACTGTGGAGGTAAAAAAATGCAAGAAAGAATGTAAGATAAATGCAAGAAAGAATGTAAGAATAAGATTTTAAGACTGATACCATGGAGTATTGGAATGATGAAAATGAGTATTACATACTTATATATCAACAATAGGTGATGTGAAGTGTGACCTCCATTTTGCAGAAGTGTTGTAATTATAATTTGCTGTATTTTCACTTTTAGGCTTGCTTTGTTTTGAGCAAAATCCTACATTTTGTACCACCTCATAGAAATGAAGTTTCACAGATTTAAACTATCCCTACATATAAAGGGGAATATTGCTCGTTTGTGAGTTTGAGGACCATTACTTTAGTTACTACCATCAGTTTAAAAGAAGCAAGTACAGTCAGAAGTGTGGAACTGTACATAGACAACCTCTATATTATGTTGCTTGACTTGCCTTAGTTAATGTCTTCATTAAATTTCATAATATTGTTTCTTTGTCAATCTTGCAATTTCCAGTTTGACTAATGTGAAAATAGGTGACAAATGTTAGGAGCATCCTACTGTTGTTTTCTTGTTTATTTCAAATGATTTTGCAAAATCCTGTTTCCTGAAGCACAGCAGGAACAAAAATGATCAGAAATCCAGCAGGCCTGTGCTAGTGGTCTGTGCCTCAGAACTTCAGTCTCTTTGTTATGCTACAGGATCATGCTTACAGAAGGCTCTGGTTTTCTGCTTCCAACACAAATTGACTGTAACTTAGTATCCTAACTGCTGCATCTATAAAGTTGAAAAACCACTTGATGCATATCTCAGCTCTATTCTATTATGTCATTAGATTCATGGCCGCAGTATCTGTTGCCAAAGTGCCAATTGTTGTTAGACATGGCATATGTCCTTTGAAAATCTGTTATTTTTAATTGCCTAGGCTGTACTGATGGCAGCATTGCACTATTTCAATAATATGGAAGATTTCTTTGTTAAAGTTTTGGAGAGAGAGAAAAAAAAAGTGTAATTGCTTGAATTTTAATGTATATGTGTTAAGCCATCACCATATTCCCATCTGAAATGATCTGTCTCCAAATTATTCCTGCTCGTGTTTTGGCCATCTGTGAGAGACTACTTCCAGGGAATTTGTAGACTGTATCTTTATTTTCTTATTTTGCCAGTGAGGCATGCATTCCCTTTCTGGGTGAATTAATGTTTTCTGAAGTTCTTCCTGGCTCTACTTCCACATCTGATTTCCGACGCTGGAGTGAAGCTAGGTGAAGTTTTGTTGTCCAAAAGCTGCTTTAAATATTCTTGTGTTGTTGTTTTTATACTATTCCCATGATGAATTCTGACATCCATACCTCAACTGACATTTTTAAATACTATCAGGCTATGATGGAAACAACTCTAAAAATGTGTCTAGGTTTTTCTTGGGCTGTAGTAGTTCTTTCCTTATTTTATTCTTTGTTAGTTGTATTCCACAGATGAACAGGCGTAATTTCTCTTCCTGACCTACAACAAGATCTATAGTTAAAATTTCCCAATGGTTCTTGGAGTAGGTCTGAACTAAGCTGCTACTGTAAAGCTCATGTGCATGTTAACAATGTTGTGATTATAAAATTTAGTTGAAGGGTTGCTGATGCACTGCAACAGAATTATTTTTAAACTGCTCTGTATATTTAGGCTTCAACTTTCAGATTACTTGCTCAGATTCTAGAATCTGGTCTGAAAACCCTGTTTCCTCTCTCCCTCCTGTAATGGCTTCCCATGCCATGGAAGCTGCTTTCCAGCTGAGACTGATCAGATGATTCGTTTTTGGATCTTGCAGTTTTAACAAGGTTTAATTGATTATATTTAAGTGAAGTGTGGGGCAACATCCTGTCCTGTCTATCCATCTCCACATCTACAATAGTTTGTCTTTATGGCAAGGTTTTCTACAACATCAAGAACAACTCTTTTAAATTTGAACAGGTATGTTTTATGCATAACTTCAAATTATTTTATTTCCTAGTGTTATTAGAGCTAGGGTTTGTTTTTTTTTTTTTTGGTAGTAAAATGTTAGTGTGTAATCTGTTTCCTTCCTAACAACAGCTTTCTTTTCTTCTGCAAGGATTTATTCATGTCGAATAAGTCCCATAGCCTCATGAAGGGTGCTTATCTTATTTCTGAAAATGCTTGTTCCTTAATATGTAAGAGTTTATCTTGCCAGGCAGAGGAAAGCTTTTGTTGACTTAATGAAAAGCAAGGCTCTCTGGAATACCTTCT